TTTTTTTTCTCTTGAATCAGAAAATATTTGAATATGCACAGTGTAGCGAAATTTTGAAGAAATTATTTTAAATAAATTTCAAAAAGCAATCTATTTCTAGCTATCATATGAAAAATGAATTAAGCGTATAGGTTAAAAAAATTTGCTAGTATAGAAAAAACGGTAAGATACGGGTGTGATGGTATTAAGAAATGGTTCAGTGTCTAGCAACTCACATAAAACAGAAACAAATTTATTTACTAAATTATTTTGTTTTATTTTGTTTTTTATTTTTATTTTTATTTTTATTTTTATTTTTATTTTTATTTTATTTATTTATTTATTTTTTGAAACTGATCTAAAACATCACTTAGAATAGTTTTTTACGCGAACATTTACATTTAATTGCAGTAACAATGATCAAAAACAAATATTCACCCAACAGGAAGTTGTCTCAAAGAGTAATTTGGTAGACATAAAATTGTAACACGATGGCGATTGGTAAATCGTTTTGTTTTCATATGACTCCAAATGAAGGGTGATCATCAACTCGCATTCGGTTTTTTTTTTTTTGGCTCGTCAGTCAGACAGACCTCTAATCAAAAACAAAAAAAAAAATACTAGAAAAATCTGTTAAAGTGCTGTAATTTAAGGTACACTAAACTTCGCACCAAACTTAATTTTTGATTTTCGCACATTCACAGAATTTGTCAAAAACATCATTTTCCTTTTGTTCGTCATCTAATCATCGGCAACACGCTCACAAAGAAGTTGAACATCTAAAAAATTTCCCTTTTCCTTTCATCTGCGTTAACATTTCTGAATCTATCTCAACAAACAACCTTATGAAGATGAAAGTTTTTTTTAGTTGTCTCTCTGAAATCTAAAAAAAAAAGCCGCCTTTATTGAGAAAACAGCAACCAACCAGGTTACAAATGCTTTCACATTAATCGAGGCCTGTAAAAGTTTCTTCAACCATACATAGGAAAACTTCATTAATTTCAAATACTCAGTTGTTGTGATACGTTTGAATAATTAGTGATATAAGCTAACTGATAAGAGAGAGTAGCATAAACACTGATGCATTAATGTTGATAAAATTTTTGTAATAAATATTCTACTATTGGACACCCTGAAGTCGGTTAAACTTATTAGTTTTAATTCACAAACTTTACAAAAGATTTGTTGACAACTTTTTGATTTAAGCATATAAGTTAGTGGTTGGTGATGCCGTATTAAACAAATTATT